TTGTTGGGCTCTGGTCTGTGGAACCTGGAGGCTCCAAGACACACCTCCCTCCTCACAGCTGAATGAGGGGCCTGTAGGTCCAGGCTGGGGCTGGGATCTCTGTCTTAAAGCTTCTTTTTTCGGCATGTTTTGTCTTCATCAGTCTCGGTCAAGTTTTAGAGTCCTGAGGTTCAAAGTCCTTAGTAATTGTCAGGTAATTATGATAACAACTACTTGTCCACAGACAGCAAATACCTTGAGGGGCCGGGAAGTGGCAATTGGCAGGGGAAGTCAGGAGGGTGAAGGAACAAAGAGAAGAGGGAAATACCTTTCCTGCTAGATTATCACCCCTAAGATGACTCTCAGAGGGTGTGGAGAGATGAAATGGGATGCCAGGGCCTGTGTTGCTTTCCTTATCCTTGCTGGCCTCAAAGGGGTCTTCCTTTCATGCATTCATAGTAGACAAGGGAGATGGTCTCTCTGCGCTTTTCCGTGGAAGGCCTCTGCAAGTCCTCTCTTCCTGGCCCTGTGCCCCTGTCCCATGAGTTCCTGCTTCTCTCCTGGTCCATTTAGAGCTTCTCACCAACGAGTGAGCAATCCCCACACTAGAAAAAGAAAAGCTAAGGGAAAAGACTTCACAAATAACATACAGCAAAATCATTCAGATAAGATTTATAGTTTATGTAGAAACTGTTGGGGTTGTAGTTATGTCTAGCCATGTTGAATTAGCTGACATGGACTGAAATTTGAGAGCCACCAACTTTGAGGAAATGTGGAAAGTCCCTTCTCTTTCCAGTTCCCTAATTTAGCTTCCTAGTGTTCCCTGAATCCCTGGGATTTAGATGTCATGGGGGTCACCTGGGTGTCAAATTCACAAGGAGGTTGTGGGGCAGAGAAAAAAAGGCTTTTTCCTGAGATATTAAGGGCAGATATATGGGAAGTAAGCTGATGCATACCCAGTCAATTCCTGATTATCCCGAGTGAGTGAGCAGATTACCTGCTTGTGAATCATCTATCACTTGTGGCCTCTCAGCCTTCCTGGTCTAAGAGTGAAATCAGGGCCATAATGGGGCATCCAATGAAAGAAAGATGGGATGGGTAGGGGAGAGAAGCTCAGATTGCATTTTTTAAAAATAATTTTTTAAAGCATTTATTTTTTAGTTGTAGGTGAACACAATACCTTTATTTTATTTTTATGTGGTGCCCCACCCATGCTAGGTGAGCACTCTACCTCGGAGCCACAACCCCAGCCCTCAGATTGTATTTTAATATCCTGTAGAACTCATCAGAGAGAGAGAGAGAGAGAGCACCTATAGTCGATAAGAGCATGGATCCTAGAGCCAGGGAACTTGGATTCAAATCTATCTCTGGGGCCAAGGATATAGCTCCGTGGTAGAGTATTTGTTTAGTATGCAAAAGGTCCCGGTTTGATCTCCAGCATTGGAAAAAAAATTTATCTAATGTCTAGCCATATATATATATATATATATATATATATATATATATATTAGATATATTAGATATATATATTAGATATATATTAGATATATCTGATATTCAGCAAGTAATAACTTGACCTCTTCCAGTTTCAGTTTCCTAATCTGTGTATGTGTGTATGTGTGTATGTGTGTATGTGTGTGTGTGTGCATGTGTGTAACTGGGGATTGAACCCAGAGATATTTTACTGCTGAGTTACATTCCCAGCCCTTTATATTTTCTTTTGAAACAGGTTCTAAGTTGCTGAGGCTGGTCTTGAATTTGATTGTCCTGCCTCAGCCTCCCAAGTTGCTGGGAGAACAGGTGTGAACTACCATGCCTGGCACTCAGTTTCCTCATCTATAAAAGAGGGCTAATAATTTGCATCTCATAGGGTTGACATGAAATTAAACTAATATTTATGTAAGGTGATCAGAAGTCAAATTCTGACTCATAGTAGAAATGAGTGTTAGGTATTAGTAATAGTTTTGTTGTTGTTGAGTTACCCCCTGTTTTTGTTTCATCCAGGACTTCCATCCTTATAGTTAGCTAGTTTAGAGCTGGTTATGGTAAGGAAGTGTCCTTCCACATTCTTTGGGAATTAGTTAAACCATCCATGTAAGTGTTAAGGCTGGGGAGAAACTCTTTCAATATGAGACAGCAGAGCCAAGGAAGAGGAATCAGGGACTCAGAAGTGAGTGTTAGCTCTCTGCAGAGAAATCTCCAGTTCTGGTAACTCCTCTGTTCCATGAGAGAATGGGTTGCTTACAAGTGATATCTGAAATAGGGCCAAAGATGGAAAAAGACTTGAGACTGTGTTCACTTTATGCTTAGATATTTCTGTGTTCTTGAATTCCTAAGAAAACACTAGCCCAAAATATTAAGAACTGTGGCAGGTCATATGTGATATGGTTTTTGACCATATCACACACACACACAAAAAGAAATACCTCTTTGGCACCTTGGATCCTCAACCCTATGAGATGCAAATTATTATCCCTATTTTAAAGATGAGGAAACTAGGCTCTGAAATACCTCTTTGGAGAAAGAAAGAAAGAAAGAAAGGAAGGAAGGAAGGAAGGAAGGAAGGAAGGAAGGAAAGAAAGAAAGAAAGACAAACCGAAATATTAAGAACTCTGGCAGGTCATATGTGATATGGTTTTTGACCATATCACACACAAAAAAAGAAATACCCCTTTGGCACATTGGATCCTCTGGCTTCAAGGTAAAGGAAAAGTTGGTAGCTTTATCTAATGTAGCAAGTTCAAGGGCAAAATTGGCTGAACATGTATTTTTTCCTAATCCTTTTTCAGTCTTGTGTCTGAGTTTGTTCAAACTCACCCCCAACCCTAACTTTGTTTTTATGTAGGACCAGAATGACCACAACCCCCACCAATGGCTGCCGCTCACACCTGGACTCCAGGTACCAGAGACTTTGTGATATGTCTGAAGCATGGGGCATCGTCCTAGAAACAATAGCCGCAGCAGGGGCTGTGACCTCAGTGGCCTTCATGTTCGCTCTCCTGATCCTCATCTGTAGGGTGCAGGACTCCAACAGACGGAAAATGCTTCCGACCCAGTTTCTCTTCCTCCTGGGAGTGTTGGGGGTCTTTGGCCTCACCTTCGCCTTCATCATCAAGCTGGATGGGGGCACAGGGCCCACACGCTTCTTCCTCTTTGGTGTCCTCTTTTCTATTTGCTTCTCTTGCCTCCTGGCTCATGCTTTCAACTTGATGAAGCTAGTCCGTGGGAGGCAGCCTCTGTCCTGGATGGTGATTCTGGGCCTAGCGGTGGGCTTCAGCCTGGTACAGGATGTCATCGCCATTGAATATGTTGTCCTCACCATGAACAGGACCAATGTCGACATCTTTTCTGAGCTTTCTGTTGCTCGTCGAAACGAAGACTTTATCATGTTGCTTATCTACGTCCTTTTCCTGATGGCGCTGACCTTCCTCACATCCTTCTTCACCTTCTGTGGATCCTTCAGTGGCTGGAAGAGACATGGGGCCCACATCTGCCTCACCATGTTCTTCTCCATTGTCATCTGGGTGGCATGGATCACTTTGCTCTTGATTCCTACCCCTGGCCCCGAATGGGATGACACTATCTTGAGCACAGCCTTGGTTGCCAATGGCTGGGTTTTCCTCTTGGCTTATGTCGCCCCTGAGTTTTACCTGCTTACAAAGCAACGGAACCCCATGGATTACCCGTTGGAAGATGCTTTTTGTCAACCTCAGCTCATGAAGCAGAGCTATGGTATGGAGAACAGAGCCTATTCTCAAGAGGAAATCACTCAAGGTGCGATTGAGAATCCTGGGGTGGGAGGGTGGGGGAGGGTCAGAGGATATTGTGACTATAAGGAATATGCAGGATTTTTCCAGGTTATGTCCTAATAGAATGAATAAATTCCCCAATGCTCAGATCTTGCTTAAAATCATCCAACCACTTAGAGACAAGTAGAACCAGTAGCTAGTTTCTGGAGTCTTTATCTAGTACTTTCTATGCAATACTACCAGGTAGGTGTCTCTGAATCAAAATAAGATGGGGCAAAGAAAAGGAAAAGGAATGACTGGGAGAGTTTCTAGTGGTATGTGGGTGAGATTGTGCTTTTTATAAAAGATAAGTGGAAATTCCTTCCAGCCTTTGTGGATTAGAGTGCAGGATGCCAAGCCATGATTTCCTGCATTGACATGGGGTACAGGAGGGAGCAAGTCCTTTTATTATAAACTGACAGGAATCTCCGTAAAGTTACCAAGGGTTTTTTGATTTTAGCACAAACATTTGATTGTATATCTCTGGGCCCCTGGGAGGGAAAAGATGACATATGACATAAAAAAAAAATGAGCCAATTGTGCTCTTTGGGAGGTGTGAGTAGCCAGAGGCTCTTCAGATATTCTCATAAGAGAGAGAGAGAGAGAGAGAGAGACCACACCGATAGCCAGAAACTGCATTGCCAGTGAGGATCTATTCATTGGTCTCTAGGTTCACATTGATCTTGGAGTCTATCACAGGGTAGAAATGGTTTCTGAACAGGAATGAGGGAACTTCAAGCCTGTGTTCTCAGCACCACTTAAAAGAGGTGTTTTTTTGTTTTTTTGTTTGTTTGTTTGTTTTTGCTGGGAGCGGTGGCACAGGCCTATAATCTCAGTGGCTTGGGAGGCTGAAGCAGGAGGGTCACAAGTTCAAATCCAGCCTCAGCAACTCAGTGAGGCCCTGTCTCAAAATAAAAAGGGCTGGGATTGTGGCTCAGTGGTTAAGTGCCTCTGGGTTCAATCCCTAGTACAAAAAAAAAAAAATGCCTTTTCTTTGGAAGCCTGAGGTGCTGAGCTTCCTGGGGCTCTTCACTGCAGCCTGGTCTCTCTTCTGGGCATGTGGGAGGACAGGAGCAGAATTTCTACCATCCCAACCCCTCCTTTGCATTCCCAGGGCTTCACTCTGTCACCTGCTCCTGGATTCCCTGTCATGGTTCTCTTTTGGCTTCTCCTTTATGCTTTTCGTGTGTGGGACGCTGTCAGCTTACTCTCCAGCCACCACTCTTGGCTTCTCACACTCCTCACTGCACCACCCCCCCACCATGCATCCTGTTATGTCAGATCTGTGAGGCCTCAAGCCCCTTTGAAGCCTTGCCCTCAGCCCACACAGACCAAGTCCCTGCATCTTCCTGTCACAGTGGCTGGGCTGCAGGTGCACCTGTCCTCTGCCTGATGAGGCCTTCTCCTGCTCTTCTGACCCTTTCGCAAGTCAAGCATTCCCCAGTCTCTTCAGTCATTGCTCCGCCCTTGCATCTGTAGAACTTTGAAATGCTCTTATCAGAGTCTGTCTCATTCAATAGTTATTTGTGTGTTCATCATGAGTTCCTTACTCTCCAGGGTCAGCTGCAGGACAGGAATCATTCTGGTTAATGCTTATACTCTAAATTGTATCAAATTGGGCAGGTAAATTTGGTGGGAAATAATTGAATTGCTTTAATTGGCATTAATAGTGATCATGTATGTTTCCCAAGTTTTAAACTCTCTGATTTTCCCCAAAAGACCTAGAAAACAAGTGCTCACAAATCCTTCCCTTTCTTGCCTTGTCAGGCAGTTAAGGAAGTGAGTAAATCCCTAGTGAGATTCACTCTAGGGACACCTCTGGTCAGATCTATATCTGAAAAGACTTTTTAATGACTTTTCAAGGGTGCTTTTGCAGTGGAGGAGAACATTTTGGAAAGGGGATTCCTTAGGGACCATGTCATTCTTTCATCTAATCAGTGTGCTCACTGGGTGCCTGGTGCTGGTCTTTCCCTGCAAGAAACCTGAAGTTTACTGGAAAAACAAAGAGACAAGCTGTCATACATACTGTGGCAAGTGGTGCAGTGGGACAGGTGGCCCTAATGCTTCAATTTCTCCTCTCCCTGTGTTTCAGGTTTTCAAGAGTCAGGGGATACCTGCTATGCCCCTTATTCCACCCACTTGCAGCTTCAGGTAAATAATCCTTCTTCTTTATTGGTAGTGTTTGCACCCAGGGACATTTGCCCTTTGAGAATGATGTTGTCTGATGGCTCCTGGGAAGCCATCTTGAAAGGATGACGTATTTTTTTTTTCCTACAATCTGCCTCATGGGGTCAGGTGGAATGCTGGGCACAGGCAGTACCTGGGAGGAGACTTGGTAGAAAGGAAAGATTAAATCCCTGCCCAGCTTGGAAGATCTTTGAAATGTAAAAATATGATCACTTCTTTTTCAGAATCGGACTCCCCAAAAGGATTTCTCCATCCCCCGGGCCCAGGCTCGAACCAGCCCTTACAGTGACTACGAAGGAAGGAAAGAGAGCAGTTAGCTCTGTTCCAAAGAAAGGAGTGATCGCAGCCAGGCAGCAGACCCAGCCAGCAGTCCAAAGAGATGTGGGCTAAATCCTGTCTTCCAAGAGAACTGCATGAAACATTGTGGGGACAGCTGCCTGCCCTCAGCCTCAGCCACTGTGCTTGTGGGGCTTCTGAGACTCTAGTTCTTCTTAGCATTGTGGTCTTTTCCTTTGTCCCATACTTAGGGTACTTTATTGAAGTGGGAGTCCTGGGCAGCTCAGGGTGACTCTTACTATTTTCTTATGTGTGACTAAAAGTCTGGGCATCTGACCGCATGCTGGCTCATTCAACTCCTGAGGCGATTCATTAGGTAGGTTTGGTGGAAATCACTTGGCCAGAGTGGAACTGCAAATCTGAGCAAATCCAGCAAGGGTCTGTGTCTCAGCCTCATCTTGTCAAAATCTACACTGGAAGCCAACCTCCTGGTAGTCCCTTCCTTGCCTTCTTGCCTGACAGGAGAGGTCAAGGTCACCCAAATCTATGCTTCTAGATGATGTTCCTGATCATAGGGCCTCTCCATCTCCCCAGCACCAATTCACAGGGCATCCTTCTTTCTTACACCATCCCCAAACTTGTTCTTGACCCCCAAACATAATCTTTCATGTGTACTTTGCCAGGAGTTCTCCGGACCTCACTAGCATGCACAGCCCAGTTTCTCCTGGCCAGGAAAATTTATGCACTGTTCTTCTTATAAATTCTTGTCTAATCTGTTTGCTTCTCAGCCTCTGTTAATATATTTACACTGTATTTATCTCCTGAGTTCTGTAAGTGGGCATTGTCTACTCTTGGGGGTATTCTGTGGTAAGTTATTCACTTGTATATGCAATAAAGATGTGGCGGTGACTTTTAAAATATTTTTTTGGGTTCTGTGGTCCCGGGGATGGAACCCAGGGCCTCATATATGCTAGACAAGCACTCTATCATTGAGCACATCCCCAGCTCTGGTGTTGACTCTTCCTCCAGTAGCAGTGATATAGGTGGTGGATATTTGACACTGAGGGAGAGATAGTGGGCTCCCCTGTTAGGTTTCCTGTTGGAGCTGAGTTCAGGCTCAGTTCTAGTGGGTTGGTACTTGACCCTTTTCCCTGTGTCTTTCCTCCTCATTACATCTGAGTTGAGTGTGTTTTTCCCAAGTTTTAAGACTTCAGATGTGAGAAAGCCAGGAAGCATCACAGGTCCTGAGGTTTTGCTCCAGGAAGGCAGAGGTAGGACTGCTTTAGAATGGAAAGACAGACAGGCCTCAAATCCAGTGTCACATTTCAGCTGAGGTTTATTGTAGGAGAGGAAAGACCTTGATCCCATATTTGACTGCATTGGTTCACAATATCTCTTGGCAAAGACATGGTACCTAAAAATTATTATTGATTCAAGAAGCAGCTCTGTGGGGCAGTGGAATAGGAAATCTCCCTTTGGTGAAGGAAATAGAAAGTCCCCATATATAGAAACTGAATGATATTTTAAAAAGTCTGTATGTTACCTATAAAGGCCTGCCATTCTGCTTTGCATCCAAAGAAGAGAAAACCAGTGTGGGCCAGAGGTGAGAAGAGGGAGGAGGTGAGTGACATGCTGATTTAGGGGTATTTTATACCCTACAAGATTGAGTAGTAGACTTTGTGCTAATATTTAAGCTTCATTTGGTATTGAAAAGGAAAATGACTATTAATGATATGAATCCTTCTAGACTATTCTAGTTCTGCCCAAGAGGCCATGACCCGGTGAGGTTTGTTGTGAGCAAAAAAAAAACGATAGAGTTTCACAGCTATTTGTCTGTCCTAGTGTAGGGCTGAAGAAGTGCATATTCCCTGCTGTTAGGAAAGATGAAGTTCTCCTGCTCTCACACCACAACCATCACCCCTGAAGACTTTTGTGACCCCGAAAGGTGTGGGCACTTCTCACCAACAAGCAAATGGTGCTGTTGCTGCAGTGGACCCTGCTGGGTGTGAACTCAATTCCATCCTGAATATCCTGGGGCAGCATCAGGTCCCACAGGCCAAGGGCTCCATTCCCAAGGTGATATTTTCCCTCACCTCAGGTGCAGGTTGCAAGCAAGACCCAGCTTGTTTTACCTTTGCTTGTGGCCCATCTGATTTATACTGGGGTCCCACAACCCCCTCCTCAGGTTTACTGGTTTACTATAAAAGAGACTACAAAGATACAGTTATTTTATACCCTACAAGATTGAGTAGTAGACTTTGTGAGTAGAGACGCATAGGACAAGGTATGGGGGAAGGAACCTGCAGCTTCCCTGCCCTCTCTAGATGTGCCACACTCCAGAAACTTCCATGTATTTAGCTGCCTGGAAGCTTCCTGCATCCTGACCTTTTGGGTTTCTGTGGAGGCTTCCCTGCACAGGCAGGATTGCTAGTAGACTGGGGTGGAAGGGACCTGGTAAGACCTATCTATTCAGGTTCTTCTTGACCTCTCTGTACAGCACTCTTTCTTCCAGGGTATGGGACAGGATGCCTCTGGAATAAGGATGGTTTTAGGGCCTAAAAACAGACAAGTCAGAAAATTTCTTAGGACCAGCTAATGACAGGGGAAGATTAGGTTTCTATGACCCACTTTGATAAGCCTGGAATCATGGGGAAAACCCAAATAAATATATATCATAATATGACATCATTCCTCTTCTAACCAAACAAAGGCAGATGAGTGGAGGGTTAGCTGTGCAATGCTCTAGGGAAGAGGAATTGTTGGCCCTTTGTGTCCCCATGGCTGTCTTCCTCTGGTCAACCTCCTCAAACATGAGAGGACCTGGGGATGGTTCCTGTCTCCAGCTCTGGAAATCTGTTTGTGCCCGATGAGGTAAAGTATTCCCTGAGCTGGAACCAGTAGGCCATTGCCTCACTAGATTCTTGTTCCATTTGGCAGGAGTGTGCTCCCCCTTTGAGCAGCACTTACCCCCAGGACTGTTAACTCGTTTTTAGGCCTCATGTCTTCTCTATATAAATAAGCTCCTTTGTTCAAATAGGGACATCCCAGGGGCTGGGAGTTTGGCAATGGAGAACCACTATTTTGGAGAAGAAGATTCCAAAGCTCTCTACCAGGATAGAAATGGAATATAAAGATTTAGCCCAGCCTGGTCCTTGGGTGATATCCATTGTCTGATGGCTGGGAATCAAAGTGTAATCTCCTTTGAACTAAATGGGTGACAATGCAATAAGGCTCAACAGCCTTTATCTCTCACCTTTCATTGTCAGATGATAAATAGATGGGAGACCTCTGCCTCTCTGAAAGCTAAGGCGATCCAAAGCTGCCACACCCCACAATGCCACTGGATGGCGGTAAAACCTCAGGCTTCCACCCTCTGGGACTTGGTACCTCTCAAAAGCAGACATCTAAGGCTGCTCTCTTGTGAAGGGCACAAAGCAGAGCTGCAGAAATTCAGCTGCCTTGAGACCAAACATGTCCCATTTAAAAATATGAGCTGTTTGCCACCCGCCACCCATCTTTAAAGAATTTGTTCTCAATCTCCACTGGCAGAGTTTCTTTGCCCTTTGTTTTATTTTTGTGAAACTCTCCAAGGTATTTCCAGTCCATTTGCATGCAATCTGGCATCTTTACAGATAATGGTCTCATATGCTGCTGTTATTAATGTCGACCAGTATTTATGTGGTGAGAATATTGGCTTTGAGTCAGGAAAAACGTGCCAAAACAAAGAGTACAGCCCGGCCCTGGAAACACAGCAGTAAGTCCCATTTTCTCCCATGCATCCTGAGTTTCCTTCCTCTGTTTCTCCACTTTTCATTACTGCTGAGAACTGAATCATGCCCTGCTGGTCTTTTCCTTCCGTGCCCACTTCCTTCTGTTGCTATCAGGGTTTGCAGATTTGCCAATGTCTCAGCTCGACTTAAAACCTGGGATTATTTCACAATTGGAGATGACAGTTTCAGAAAAAAAGTGTTCTCAAGTGTTGGCCACCGAGCCGGGATCTGGGAGTCCGTCTCCTGCTCTTAGGTTTCTGCCTTTGGAAACCACATGGTCTGTCCTCATGGTGGCTGTCCAGAGTTCCTTCTGTGTAGGGCAGATGCTGCTGCTTCAGATGGGTCTGCATGGCCCCTAGATTGGTGTCTGACCCTGATTTCTGCCACCTCCAGGTTTGTACAGTTTTCTCCACCCTTTGAAGTGGAACATTCCAGTGCCTAAGATTGTTGAGTTTGAGGAGGTCAGAGAGATCCTTCCATTGGTGCCACTCAGCCCCCATTTTGGAGGCTGAATGGAATTAATTCAACCTGTATCAAATTTCCAGTTTTCTGCTCTTTCTATTGTCAGTCTTAGACATGTTTCCCCAGGAGTCTTTGAGCAAATAATCCAATGAACTGACCACGGTCATCACAGATTTTAAGCATTCTCTCACTTTCCTTTGTTTCCCCAGGTGCTCTCCCTTGGTTTCTCCTCTGGTCATTGGCTCCCCCTCTCCTTATAAGCCATGGGAGAGGGACTGGGTAGGGACTGGGTGGGGACTGGGATTTCCTGGTTTACCACTCCTCCCTCCCTGGCAGTACTCAAGTCCTATGGATGTTCACTTCTTGGGAAAGTAGGTTGTCAAGGGAGGGCTTGAAAACCATTAGGCAAAGAGTTCATCTTCATTTTGCCCAGCCAAAGTGATGATCCTTCAGCTTCCCTGAGTTCCATATTAAATCAAAACCCACACCCAGTACCTCTTTTTTCCTTTATGTGAAGTTACAGGGGAACATACCCCTGTGACTCCTCACTCCCTGTGTCACTAGTGACAACAGAGGGAGTCCTTGGGAAACCCTTGCATGTAACTGTAGGGCTTGCAATAACTTTGCCTAAGGTATTGCCCTGAGCCATATACCTCCAGCACTAAAATCAGCAAGGATCTTTGAAGGGCAAGAAGATGGAACCACAGTGGAATTTGGTTATCACATGTATACCACCAAACTCCCTGGTCCCCATTGATTCTCCCTTGGTTCTTCCACATTATCAGTCTGTTGGCTTTGTTTCAACTCAATTAAAAAACCTCCAATGATGACTCCAGGCCTTGAGCTCTGGGACACAATGGTGGGGCCTAGCACCATATCCTGTGGTTTTGTAAAGTCAACTATCTTTCTCTAAGAAAAAAATAATTCCAGATCAACTTTTTTTTTTTACTCAAAAGGAATTAAAATAGAAAATATTGATTTGACTCTGATATCTTTATTAACAAGAGGGAAGAAGGCAGGGATAATAATCATTTAGAGTTAGATGGAGTCAGAAGTCAAACATTCAAAGAGATCCTTTATTGGGTAGAGATTTCTAGTGGCATGCCATGGGGCTTTATATTTGGGTATGTTTGGTAACAACACAGTTATCAATCACTTGGATAAAAATAAAGCATATTTGTCACATTTGGACATGATGCAAAATTAGGAAAGGCTGACTAATAAAAACCAGAACACAATGTGTTTCTATAGGTTAGAATGAAGATTACCAAACCAAGAATCTAGTTTAATAGATGTAAATGTATTCATACTCTCCAAATAGTTACATAAATATAGGTTGGAAAGGCTTCGTTTGACAGCAGCTTTTATGCAAAGACCTGGCAGTTTCAGATGCCTGTAAGACTGATGACAACCCACCTTGAGGCTCGGCAGCAGAAAAGTCAAGGCTTTATCAGCAGCACTGAGATGTTTGTGAAGCTGAGGTCAAGGCAGGTGTGGTTCCCACTGAATTGGGGGCACACATGTTACACATCAGAATATTGAATCCATTTCTCTGCCTCCACTTTCTTGGAAGAGCATCTAGCAGAGGGGCTATTTTTAGAACTTTGCAATGTACAGAATGGCTGCTGGGGTTGGAGATGGTTAATCACACACTGTGTGCTTGCTCTGTGCAGGCAGTTTTAAGTGCT